GTATTAAACCAGAATGTGATGTCTGTCCCGGACCAGCACGAAGAGGTTGCAAAGCCCAGATGGCATCTCACCCTTCATGTAGCCAAGCAGGTTTAACTCATTACATGTATGTTCTCGACATAAACAATAGTTCAGTTTCTCCCCAAGGAAAAGGATTTGACAGCACCATGCATTACACGCAGTTCATCCTAAATCACCCTGGTGACTGGGGGGCCCCCCGCTTTAGTCAACTGGCTCTACACAAAGGAAGAATACACTTTTCATATCTTTATGGCAGGAGGCGGTTTTACGACACGGAGCCAGGTGTCAGTTAATGTTAGGCTCCTCCCCTCCCTGGGAAGCTAGGAGAAACTAGCAGATAAGGCTGCCATCTCCCTGGGATGTTTACCTTCAAAGGAGATTGCTCTCAAGTCCTTGAGAAAGACTTTCCTGAGTCTTAAAGCCGACAAAATGCCCATCTCGTTTTCAAAAGGATTTATCTACATTTCGGACAGAGGGGTGTGTACCTAGAAGGACCAGTTTTCTGAAATAAATTTTTTAAGAACAGGGAAGTGAAATCTCTTCCTTTATTTTCAACAAGGAGAATTAAGCCTCTTTTTAGAAATTTCGATTTGTCCTTACACCTGGTTGACGTGGGGGCAGAATTGAGGTCCAAGAGCATCTGACTCTGACGTAGCCAATAAAAAGAATCAGTTGTGACTTATGTTCTTTTCTAGGGACTTGGTTGAAAATACTGTGGGAGAGGTGGCGGGCTGACGATTCTGGACTTTCAAAGTCATTTCAATCCATGTATGTCAGGTTTTACATTGTAGTGAATCATGGCGAAGCTGAACGGAAGTCAGAGAGCAGGAGGATGGATATTCCTGTGTGTGCTGGTTTTTTAAGATACCCCCCTCCCCCGCCAAATAATAGAATGGGGGGAAATAACTATTTGGAGCTCCGGTCATCCAGATATTAAATGTTTTGACCTCAGATTCAATGTTGTGTCCCCTAGACTCCATTTTACCTGCTTTATACCAACCCTGCCACCTTTACAGGGCCTTACTTACTAAACTATCATTGCTTCTGGCTTATGGAATCTGGCACTAGATCTTGTATTTTTAACCCCCAAATTAGTAAGCATGTAAGTGTCCCAAATGCATTTAAAATCTTTTGGGAAAAAAACTGAATATGTAGCAGTTAATAAAGTATGATGTACCTTTTCTGGAATTGACTATTTACTCTGGAGACGTGAGGTCTGGTTTCATGTTGACAAGAACATACATGGAGGTCATTTTGCTTTCATCTGGCAGACAAGAATATTCCAAGTGGGTTTTGTATTAAAAGGGAACGCAAAATCAATTTACACAGCACATTCTTTAAAAAAGTGCTTTCTGAGATGTTGGTTTAAAGTTTCACCACACTACATCACTTATTACCTAAAGTTAACTCTAAACAAACCAAATTAAAAAAAAAACCCAAATTGGAAAGTGACTCCCTTTAAAATGATGATTTTCTAAATGTCTGAAGGTCTTTCTTATTTACATTTTCTTATCCAAAGTAAGTGTGTTGTTCCACGGGCCATATGATACAGAACTGAGCCTTCACGGCCAGGGGGCCTGTCTGAAAATACGGATTTGTTCATTTATTTGATTAATGATCGTCATCTTTCTCAGATGTGGAGATTGGTTTTTTCCCCAAGTTACTGAGCTCTTTACCCCTACTGAGATTGGCAGAGGGAAGTAAAAACTTCACAATGTGTCCACAATCATGACTCCACCTGTCACAGCATAAAATGCATTCAAACCAGCCGCTGAATCGCGGTACCAGACATGCCTTTGACCTCCCGGTGGGTTCAGGAAGTGCTGAAAAACACCGCTGAGGCCGCCAGCATCGTGTCGGGGGATGGCCTACCTGGTCCCCTTCAATCTGATTTAACTATTCCATGTCCAGTATTTTATTTGACATTATGATCCTGTCTACAAATGTATCCTTATAAATCTTCTGTGTAAACTCTTTTGGTGACGGTGGGTTTACTGTTTACAAGCCAGACACTATTTATGTCTTCATGTGGCTGAGACAAACTAATGACTGAATAAAACGACAAAAACAAACGGGAAACACTGAACAAACTTGGGTTTAA